TGTGTGTGGTGGCTTTTTTCTTTGGTGGCTTTTTTTCTAGAAATATATCGACAAAAAGCGTGATAATGTTACTATTGCAGGATGTAAAATTAATAGCGATGACGTTATTACAGAGAGAAAAATCACAATAGTAATAAAGTTTCCTCAGAAAGAATTATACAAACAATAGTGATAACGTTACTTTCGCAGGATATAAAAAAAACCAATAGTGATGATGTTACTAAATAAAGATATATACAAACAATAATGAAAATGTTTCTACAGAAAGATATATACAAACAATAGTGATAACGTTTGAAGGATATGAAAAAAACCCAATAGTGATGATGTTACTAAATAAAGATATATACAAACAATAATGAAAATGTTTCTACAGAAAGATATATACAAACAATAGTGATAATGTTACTACATTAAGATATATACAAACAATAGTATTAATGTTACTACATAAAGATATAAACAAACAATAATGATAATGTTACTACAGAAAGATATATACAAACAATAGTGATAACGTTACTTTTGCAGGATATAAAAAAAACACCAATAGTGATGATGTTACTAAATAAAGATATATGCAAACAATAATGATAATGTTTCTGCAGAAAGATATATACAAACAATAGTGATAACGTGACTACAGAAAGATATATACAAACAATAGTGATAACGTTACTTTTGCAGGATATAAAAAAAATAGTGATGATGTTACTAAATAAAGATATATACAAACAATAATGAAAATGTTTCTACAGAAAGATATATACAAACAATAGTGATAATGTTACTACATTAAGATATATACAAACAATAGTAATAATGTTACTACATAAAGATATATACAAACAATAATGATAATGTAACTACATAAAGATATATACAAACAATAGTAATAATGTTACCTCAGAAAGATATATACAAACAATAATGATAATGTTACTACAGAACGTTATATTCAAACAATAGTGTAGTGTTACTACAAAAAGTTATATTCAAACAATAATGATAATGTTACTACAGAAAGATAAATACAAACAATAATGATAATGATACTTCAGAAAGATATATGCAAACAATAATGATAATGTTACTACAGAAAGATATATACAAAAAATAGTAATTATGTTACTACATAAAGATATATACAATCAATAATGATAATGTTACTACATCAAAATTTAAACAAACAATAGTGATAATGTTACTAAATAAAGATATATACAAACAATAGTAATAATGTTACTACATAAAGATATATACAAACAATAATAATGTTGCTACATAAAGATATATACAAACAATAGTAATAATGTTACTACAGAAAGATATATACAAACAACAATGATAATGTTACTACATCAAAATTTAAACAAACAATAGTAATAATGTTACTACATAAAGATATATACAAACAATAGTAATAATGTTACCTCAGAAAGATATATACAAACAATAATGATAATGTTACTACAGAACGTTATATTCAAACAATAGTGATAATGTTACTACAAAAAGTTATATTCAAACAATAATGATAATGTTACTACAGAAAGATAAATACAAACAATAATAATAATGATACTTCAGAAAGATATATACAAACAATAGTAATTATGTTACTACATAAAGATATATACAAACAATAGTAATAATGTTACTACAGAAAGATATATACAAACAATAGTAATTATGTTACTACATAAAGATATATACAAACAATAGTAATAATGTTACTATAGAAAGATATATACAAACAATTATGTAATATTTACTATAGGAAGTTATACTAAAAAATAAACAAGTACGGATAGTGTTTAACACATTTTAATTCGGACTGAATATTATCATGTTTTATGTACAAATAATTTAATTTTGCCTATCTCCCCCATAATATTCTTTTTGGTATATATTGTATATACCTAAAAAGAAAAACAACTGATGCCGGAACTACTTTTTACACTTCAGAATGCAAAATTACAACGCAGCTTTTTTTTAGCGCAATTTTTTAGTTTACGTGAAAATTAAATAAATCTTTAACTGTGCATTTACAACGTGTTTGTCTACTTTTTAAAAATTAAATTATAAAGAATGCCCAAGATTTTGTTTTGGTATATACGGTATATACCGAAAACAAAATCTTGGTCATTCCTTAAATATACATTAAACACAGTCATGTATAAAAAAAAGAGAGCATTTTTAGGTTTGAAATGAAATTCCAGGCTAAAACAAAAATGTGTCATTACATTACAATAAATCAATATACGCATTGTGCCGAGGTATAAACTCTCGTGAGATGCGACATGAATGCTTTTAAACCGACTACAATCAATATAATATCATACATTTGTATATGCAGTGTAAGACATTAGCAACATGTGTGTATGTCGGGTTGTAATCTACAAGGTTCATCTGTTACAAACATTATCAGCTTGATGGCATTAACTTAAACTTGAAATAGTGATATTATCTTCATACTTATCTTAATTGAATTAACTAAACACTGTTCATGCATTAAAAGTAATCACATGTAGAAAATAAATATAAAAGTATTTGTATTTCAGCACATAGTAAAATTTTAAGAAATTTTCTTTCACAGAAATTAAGCTTCCCAAACTTGATATCAATTGATTCTTGTATTGTATAAATTACCTTTTGTATTCTACTAGTAACATCTGAGACCTTCATGTACATATATACAAGGTATGTTGCAAGGAATCGTCAATTTGCCAACCCAGTGCACATACTGTACAGCAAAGCATACTTAGAATTTAGATACATTAATACTTCAAAAGAGGTTGTTTCCATGAGTAGGTGACTATTTCTCGCAAGTGTTTCTCGAGGAAGGATACAACACTATAGGATTTTTCCGAGATCAGGACATACCTGGAATTGTTCGGACTTGAATGGAATGTCATCTTGTTCAAGGATAGGATGTATTCACTGATCCCGTCTGAGGTATAACCCGTCATTAGACAATGGCCGCCTGATGCTCTCTAAGAGGAATGCATGATGTCATAGCTCGGATTAAATTGAAAGTGTTTATATCTTCTGTTTTGTTGCATGGGGAAAACTTGATAAGGTTGTGTATTTCAGCTATTTTCTTTTGTAATTTTGACCAGTTATACTTGTACATCTTCGCGAAATAACCGATGAAGATTTACGGGTAGTATTCGACACCATGCCTTCAAAAAGTCCTGTCTTCTAAGTCCAAAAGTTTAATCTAGTAGCAGTAAGCCGCCAACAGATGGACGAATGAGAAGATTATACATTTTCTTTCCTTATTTCATTTATATAGGTGTTTGTGTATTTCTTGACGTCTTGTTGCAACCATTGATTACGGTTGCGTTGCTGTATGGAAGCGGTTGTTGATATGGCAATAAAATGTTTCCAATAATGTTTCTATGTTAATAATGCAATAGGCTTAATCCATTTCGAAAACCCGTTTGAATTTCATTTTAACAAACTCTGATTTAAAATAAACCCAACTTAATGTAAACTAGTTAAACGCCCGTTTCAATATCTGATTATATGAACTCAAGTTTGACATATCCTTATTCTATATCTATAGGTTGAATGATACTACTTCCCCAATGAGGTAGAGAGAATTGTTAAACTATCAATGTCAGGCGTCAATATTTAATGTGAAATCTTCAGGATTTCATCATCGTCCTGCCTCGAATATTACACCGTCGTAGTCATGGTTGACGTGTCGTCATTTTGTTGTTATCATGTGATATAGGACAGGGACATCACAAGATGTAAGAAATGCATTTCTCTCCTATATAAACATATATACTTTTCCTTTTAGTCTCATCCTCGACAGGTGTATCCAAATATTTCCTGGTATGAGAATCCCAATCTGATCAAAATCATATGTTACATGGCTTCGTTAACTTCGTACTACGCCTGAACATCTGAGTGTGCCGCGGTCAGGGTCACATTCAGGTGACCTTTATATTTATAAATACTCATTAAATTTTGACCTATCAGAGACCCTCTTTCAAAAGGGCGCTCGGAGTTGTAACAAATATGGCGGACATTGATGAGAATGGTGCGAAAGTTCTGAAGTTATTTGAGATTGATCGTCTGAAACCCGAACAGAAAAAGATATTCGAAGCTTTGTTAGAGAAGACAGACTGTATGGCGGTGTTGCCTACGCCATATTTGTTTTGGAAAACTAATCTGTTCGATACCCCTCGCTATTTATCTATCAACCATAATATTCCGATTCGCTGGCAAACTTTTGCCAGCGCGCCTCTGATTGGTTCATCTAAAGGTCACTTGAACGTGACCCTGACCGCGGCACATTCAGATGTTCAGCCATGTAACAGATGATTTCAATCAGATTGTGAGAGGCCTTTCCTATCGATAAGTTATAACACAAATTTCAACCATTGGGGGATATTCCTGATTGTAAAACTCGAGGTTTGTTTTAAGCCGAGGGTTAGATATGCCAGAATCTCATTATGAGGGCTGAGATTTCTCAGGTACATATCACCGTAGAGGATGTTTTTTTGGCCTTTGAAATAATAAAAAGGCAGTTATGGTGTGTTCTGTTCCGTTCTTGTATTGCTGAAGTGATGTGTACCCGTATGCTGGTAGTTGTAAACGTGTACACCTTGTTATGGGTCTGTATCCTTAAGGAATCTTTTACAATCTCATAACACTTGAAGATTAACAGCGTATCTCCCTTTTTGCATGTAGTGTAGAGCAACAAGGATTAACGTGACTTATATAGGTCAATGGCATGGCTACAGTCATTGCCGCAAAGGACATTCCGACAATAAGTCGACGCACGAACCATATGTGATGGTTAGTGCCTTTACACAACGACAGTTTAGAATTTTCTATGTTTACAGATACGGACGGTTGATTAAGTCCCACTTTCCGCATACAAATATGGAATGAAACCATAAAATATACATAAAACATATGACGCAAGCCACTCTAACAGATTTACGAAAGACTATTTTTACATGTTAACCTTGAACTTTCAGACAATGTCGGACTTCTCGGAGACGAGTAGTATGGGCGACACACGCCAGCTTGTGGAAGAAAAAGATGATGGCCGCGTTCGCAGTAATATTCCGATGACGAGCTTCAATTTCATCAATTCCATCATCGGCTCGGGGATAATAGGTTGGTAAAACTTATATATAGAGGAAATTTAATGATTTTCCATTGAACATTTCACGACTGTATCAGAATACTTCAGTACTGTCAAGAGTGCTCTAACATGGATAAACAGACGGAATATTCTGCTGCTCGAATGAATTATAAATTACATTCAACATTTTTTTTTTTTTTTTTAACGCACAATGGAAGTGCTTCAGAGCGTCAACATATCGTCAAATTGTGGGTCAAACTTGAATTTATGACGTCACGATTGAGGACAATGGTTAATACACAATTTTCAAGTTTTCTGACTGGTTAACATATTGATGGGGTTTTATTCTGTGTTTCATTGGTTTAGTCCGAGAAATGCTATTTTTTCTCAAATGGGAAAATATTTTGATTTTTCGGGACGATCGTGAAAAGTTAAATTTATTAAATTAATAGTTTCCAATATTTCACTGTCTTATTACTTAATGTGATATCTGGCTGGTGGGTTGTTAGTAACGTGTTGATTATCTGTCATATGAACCTTCACTTTGTATGTGATATTATCATGTTGATGGGCATGTAATTATAAAATTGACAAATTATTCCCATGCATCATTGTCTACATACCTTGCCACTGGGAGGGAGTGTCGGGAGCTTAAAACATTGATCTTAACTGTTACACGTTACAGTCGCACGATCACAATTCGCCTTCAAGAAATTTTACACAAATAAATGTTTCTTATTTTCAATTTCACAAATTCATTTAATCAGAGTAAGCCTTAAGGACAGATTCCAGTTTTTCAAGGCACTACCAGCTCAACGGGTCCTAAACGCAAAATTTAGAAATGTGATTTTTGATAAATATGTGACTTACAAATACGATGCATTTCTGTGGTTTTTTTCTTCTGGTGACCATTTGGAATCCCCATATATGTCAGTTAGTTATGGGTATTTTTGAACAAAAATAGACACAAAATTAAACGTTTGCGTTAAAATGTTGTAAAGCTGTCTTCGCTTTGAACAGCGGTCGCAGTACATGCTACAGTACCTATTGCAGGTAGCTGCTAATACTATCAACACAAATACTATCGAATTCGTCTTATATCGAATACCTATTTCTTCTCGACTGGATTTTGATTCCTTATCAGTTTATATTTTTATATTTTTACTTCGATATATCGTACAATCCGCTTATCTCGAAGCGTTTTATGGATTCAACGTCTTCGACATACCGAGGTTTAAGCGAACGATGCATAATGCAAAGATTTGTAGACGCTGAATTCGATCACACTGTGCGCAAGTACAGACATTAAAGAATATTTAAGGAATGGACAATGAGATTGGGAATTTTCTATTATTATCTTAAACTTTTATTAAATTATATATTGATATTTACAGGTATACCATTCGCTCTGAAGCAGGCCGGATTCGCCTTTGGTATATTCCTGTTAATTTTAGTAGCTGTCGTAACAGGTAGGTACAAACATAAAGTATACTCTGTTTAAATAATTGTATTGCGTTCTACTTTTCTCTGTGGAAC